AGTAGAGGCATTCTATGAACTATAGAGGTGAACCTTGGTCATATTGGTTGCATTGAATTTTCTCTTCATGTTCACTGGAGGTTAAAATGACATTTAGAAAGAGCACACAGAAATGTGCACGTGTAGGAATGTGGCGGGCTCGTCTCAACTCCAGGAGGAGTTCCCATATTAGGGCCGTCAGTGCCTTTCTTTTCTTTTTTTTTTTCCCTGGCACTGGGGATCGAACTCAGGTCCTTGCCTTTGCGGGGCAGGTGGCGGAACCACTCAGCTAAATCCCCAGCCCCTGTCACTGCCTTTCAACAGCTCATTCACTTACTGCCGTCACTCCGGGGCAAGTTCTCCTCCACTTTCTTCTCAAATGGAGTTCGATTAAATATGAAGGGCACATTGATAGTTGAAACACTAATATCTCTTTCCTTCACATACACAAGTGATTTGTGCTCTCGCCTAATGGCATATCAATTTAATATCTCCTTCTGAGGCTATGTGTCTGTAGGATTTAAATTGTGCAGATGCTCCAACCTAATAGAACAGGGTCTAGAAAAGAGACAGGAATTCAGTGCCCAGCATGTCCTAGACGATGATGATAGCTCCATTCATCCTCCCACTCAGGACAAAAATCTTCCAGTTGTCTTTCTCTCTATGTTTTCTCTGGTATCCCACATCCTATCCATTAAGACATCTTGTTACCTGAATCCAGCCACATTGTATCACCCACACTACCCTACCCTGGATGGTTCCTTGTCTCCAAGCAAGTGTCAAAGATCCTTTAAGATCTGGTGGCATCCTCATCAATTTGTGTTTCTTTCCTTGCTTCTCTGCTCAAGCTGCCCACCCTTCTGTATCTTCTGGCAATAAGCTGGCAGGCCTGGGAGTCTTTTTCTGGGTGTACTAGCTCCCTGGGATAGTCTTCCCCAAATACCACCAGGTCTAACTTTTTCACCTCCTTCAAGGTTTGCTCAAATTATACTTTCTTAAACAGGTTTAATGTAATCATCCTTGAACACCCTCTTTTATTTTCTTAGCATTTATCAGTTTTTAAAATACTACACAATTTGCTTATATTTCCAGTTTTATGTGCTGATTGTCTCTCTCCTCTAGAATGTAAGCCCCACAAGGGGAGGGGTCTGTATATGGTTTGCCCACTAATTACACGAACCTAAAATAGTCCTTGATGCATACTAGGCACTCATGACACTAGCTAAATGAATGAATTTAAGTGCTCAATTAATGTCAGATTTCTCCCTTTCTTTCCTTTGAAAGTACAAAGTGAAGAAATTTTGGAGGGGAACATCAACTATATAAGTACCTCATTGTAGAATTATTTTCTTAGTCTTTATTGGAATAGAGCTGGTTGTTATTCTCTCAATGCATATTTGCCTCAAAATCTTGCCACTGATTACTACTTTCTCTTTCCCACTTTTTGGATTCCATGGTAACCACATCACAGAGTGCAGTGTGCATAACAATTACCTGGGGACTGGTTCCAAACAAGGACCGTACCCTCATAGACCAGATGGTCTGAGGTAAGCCCTGGGAATCTGTTTTAATCAGTTTCTCAGGTAATACTGACAGAGGCAGATAAGGGACAAACTCTGAGAAACATCACCTTATAATTTATTTTCCCTAGTTCTTACACCTGGAGCTGCCTTCTCAGCCTATGCCTGTGACACCACCTGGCTTGTTTAGGAGTTACCTGCATTACAATTTTCTCTCTGACTTTGTCTCTCACTCTTCTCATGCTATCCTTCGCTGTGCTGTTATATATCCTCTGTGAGAAAGAACTCAAAGCCACTGAAATATCCAGACTTCTCTTCCTAATATTCAAAGGTGATTTACCTGAAGGTAAATCAATCTCTCCTTTTTTATTGATTCTTATGCCTGCTCTTCCTCTGACAGAGCCTAGTTCTAGTGCACGTGGTTGGCTTACTGGCCATATAGAAAAGGGCTCAGTCCTGTTTATTTACTTCCTCTGAATGTAACCAACCCTTTCTTCAAGGCCTACCCAGTTTGCTAGTCATTTTGTTAGAGTGTGGTACATTCCAGACACTGCTGGGAGGATGGCCCATTCTACCCAGGTTCTTCCAGGTTGGTTAAGAAGGAAAGACATGAGTACAACTCAGTGGGAAGCCATAAGTTATTGAGACGCTACCATTTGGCACTGGATCCCAGAATGTGGAAACTGGTAGGTTTATTAAACTTGAATGAATTGGACATCAAGGTTTTAGGAAGTTAGGCTTTCAACTGAGGAATCAGGAAGCACTTTTTCCACTGTTTCTGATTTGGGATTGCTCATGTCTGAATGGATAGGATCCCATGCTCACAAGAAGGGTTCTGACATTCTGGAGAATTCTAATATCTCAAGATAAGCCATATAGGTGGGCAGCATGAAGCTCTTTTCCAAAGGAGGGGAATAATTTTCCATTAATAGAGGAAATGAAAAAGTAGCAGTGTTTTGATTGTGGAAGATTTTAAAATTCAAGCTAAAAACTTCTCTTCCCTTCCTCCTTCTCCTCCTCTTTCTCCTCCTCCTCCTCTTCCTCCTCCTCTTCCTCCTTCTCTTCCTCCTCTTCTCCCTTCCAAATGAACATCTGCAACCCCAGTCACCTTGCTGGGCTTGGCCAGCCCACACCAGAGGGTTTCTCTGATAACCTATTGAGATGATGGTTATGGAAATGCTTTGAAAAACGTAGAGGTCTATGCAAACATAAGTATGTAATATTGTTTATGCTAAGAAACAGGTAAAAGTAACATTGTAAATGGAAGAATTGACTGACATGCTGGTGGGATATAAGAGATGTGGAAGGAAAAGAAGGGTTGAAGTCAAGAGGCTATAGAGGGGGAACTGTGAGAATAAAGTGTGCTGGAGAAGTCAGATGATTAAGTGGTTCAATGCCCAGGCTCTAGAATCAAATCTCAGCATTGTCTCTTATTACATATGAGGTTGGAAAGTTACTTGGCTTCTTTGTGCTCCAAATTCTTAATTTGTTAAATGAGAATGGAAACTATTATAGTTATTTTTAAGTCAGTAAGGCAGGTAAGATAGGAAAGAGTTGGACTCCTAATGGGCACATGGTAGACACTGAATGAAGTTTATGAGCACCAACTTCACTGACATCCAGAGGTCTCCCTTCCTCTCTTCTGTGACAGCTGCTCACCACTCTGGTTCTCAGTATAGGGAATGGACATAAGGAGCCAAGCTCAGATGCCTTTAATGTATCCCAGGGCAGTATCCGGTAACAAGGCCTAGCAGATGCTCCCCAATGGGCACTTCAGGACCAAATGAGCAGTTGCAAATCTATCTGGACTTGATGGCATCAAGAGCTGATGTCATTGATTATCTTCTGAGCAGGGAGTCACCTCATAACGACTGAAGGGCAGATAGACTCATGGTACAAAATCCATCAAAGGGACTGCTTTGGAGGATATGACTTATATTTAAGGAATGACAATATTAGATGAAAGTGTTGTACCTAGCCAGAAAGAATTGGGAATCAGGAAACAAGCAAACAAAACAGGACTGCTGTGAACAGAAGCCAAATATAGCTACTCTTACCAAAGCTACTTTTAGAAGAGAAAATTTAAAAATCTAAGATTAATTAACAAATCTAAATTAAATAACATCTCCAAAGAAAACAATAAAAATAGAAAAATAAAGATTAAAAACAAAATGGGAAACATTGTTAAAAGACAAACCCAGGAGATATTAGAAAATGCCAAAGTAACTAAAAAAGCATAGTTGAACTTATATGTAAACTACAACATACCTAAAGAAAATATTTCAAGATTAACTACAGATAGCTGAACTTGTGTAATAAAATATACTGCCTGACAAAAGTTGGAATAACTGGTACAAACACATACCTGATTAAAAGGGAGAACGGCAAGATCCAGCGTACCCCAAGGTGAGAACTTAAGGAAAAGTTATCCCAGAACATGGGTTTCCACACTTGTCTGCACTATGGGATTCTGTGGATTATTGAAAGTTAAATTCCCAGGCTGCATTCTGCAGAGCTTGAGAATTGGTGGGTTTGGAATTGGACCCCAGAAGCTGCTTTGGTGGCCTGGCCACACTCAGGGTCCCCACTCAGTTCTAATGTGATTGATGCATCTCAGTTTGCTACAGGAGGGACAGTAGGAGGTCGGGAGGAAGGCTGGGGAAGGGACACCAGAAGAGAAGCCTCATCCAACACACACCTGTGGAACAGCAAGACAGTGAGTACCAGCCAGATGGACCCCTTGCCTGTGGGGGAGGGGTTGGGGTGGGTGAACTTTCAGGGTGAAGGATAGGAAAGCCCTTGGGACAGATGGTCCCCACTCAGTAGGGAGAGTCACTTACTGTGGAAATAAAGATGACCCAGATTTATTTCCACTTAAGAGGGATGCCATCAGATCTGTGTCTCTCTTTATTTTTGCATACATCAAAGATTGATTTAAATGTCTCTATTTCAGGTGTTCTTAAATGTTGGGGTACATGGTGATCACCCCAAGAGCTTGTTGAGCATGTAAAATCCTGGGCCCCATCCCCAGACATGGCTACATTCCTGGATTCTGCAAATTTAGGAAGTTTCCCCAAGATGCGAATGACAGGAGTTGCGTGAGGGCTACATTTGAAAGCACTGCCTAGGGGCCACTGGGAGGAGAATAGATGGCAGGGACTCAACTTGCCGTGGCTCTCCCTCAGCAGTGAGCTTTGGCAATTTGTAACTATTGTTTCTTTCTCTAATTATTGATCCACAAAATGGAGATAATAAAAATTTCCAGCTCCAAAGTGCTCCCTCTGTGCTAGGCACTTTGCCCGAATTTGCCTCATGAATTCTTTTCATGTAGGTGCCCTCTGCACCCACAGATGAGGAAAATGTCTTAAGTGACCCACCCAGAATAGCCAAGCTGAAAGCATACTCAGTGAAGGGCGCCACACACTCAAGCCCCACTTCAGGCACTGCACCCTGCTATGTGTGCACTGTGTAAGCCTTGCTGTCTCTGGGATTGTTGGGACAATGACCAGCAAAGGCCCTGGAAAGGTGAAATGTGGGTGCAAGGAGACAGGAGAAGGCAGCAGAGTTGTAGGGAATGATGTTGAGTACATGCACTTGTTGGACACTTGCATTTCTCCAGCACCCAGATCAATACTGACAGTGACACAGTAACTATCCACGAATCCAGGAGATAGTTCTAAGGCTAAATATCTAGGGTCCCAGGGCAGGAAAGCTCCTATCTTCTTAGATGTAGATACTCTTGCCAGAATAGGTGGGAGGATACAGAATGAAGTGCTTCTGAAAAGTACAAAGAATAACCTGTCATGTCTCATCACAAGGTGACCTAAATTGGCCTGTAGATATCTTCACCCCAAGCAGGTGGACCCTGTGGAGATCTGTCAGGGTCCCCTTCTGCCCTTCGTTAATAGTGTGTGACATCTAGGAAGCTGAGGCACTGGTATTCCATTTCCTCCCTGGTAAAATGGAGACAATGATGTGCTATAAGGTAGATATGGGCCTTAAGCAGATGCTGGTTGTCAAGGCCTTAGTCTAGTGCTGGGAACACAGATGGTACCCATGGTGATGGGAATTGGGCGGGGAAGATGATCTATTCACTGACCCTCAGGTGGGGGTGGGGCTGCCTTTCCCCCCAAAGACTGGCTTGCTGTTCAGCTCATGGAAGGTTCTGGAAGGTGTTCTGGCCGAGTCGAGGTGTATTTTGAAGGCATGTGGGGCACAGTATGTGACGACCTATGGGACAAGAAGGACGCGCAGGTGGTGTGCCAGCAGCTGGGCTGCGGGATGGCCATCTCCGCCCCTGGAGAGGCCTACTTTGGCCAGGGCTCTGGCCCCATCCTTCTGGATGATGTGCAATGTTCTGGGACTGAGGCCTCCTTGGAACTGTGCCCCCACGCTGGCTGGCTCACTCACAACTGTGGGCACGGGGAAGACACTGGTGTCATCTGCTCCGGTAAACTGCTTTCCATCTTTTCTGAGAGTTGATTTTTCCCTTTGTCCAATCACTGCTTGAGTCTCCACCTTTCTCCCCAGTGTTCAAAAATGTCTTTCCAATGGATCATTTGATGCGTACAGAAAACCCGTCTGCTTGGGGCCTCTGCCACCTTCCCAAGGAGGACACTCACATCAAACCTCTCCCCCAAGGTGTACAGGAAGCAGCTAGATCCCCCACATGAACTCCAGTCCTTTTGGGTCACTTGAGAAGCCAACAGTAACCACATTAAAAGAATGTTAGGTTTGAAATGAAAAGACTCCATCCAGGCACAGGATGGGCCACACAATTTGTAGGCCCCAGTGCAAAATGAAAACATGGGTCTTCTTTTTCAAGAGTTATAAAGAATTTCAGGACAGCAACTACATGGCATTAAAGAAAGGGCAGGGCCTTTCTGATCTCAGGCCTTGTGGGCTTGTAGTGAAGCTCATCCCCATGGGCATCTCTGTGTCTCCAACTGCTTTCCCTGTGCCTACCATGGCTTTTCTGTTGTGCCTACCATGGCTTTTCGCATGTCATGTAGCTTTTCTAACTAAATGGGATCATCATCAAAACAATGATCATAGTGCTGCTGTGAAGATGATTATTGCTAATTCTGATCATTAACTTATAATTCCATAGCCTGAAAAGCAAATTGTCAATGATGCTCTGCCTGATCCTTCTGCTTTTTGAGGAAATAAGTCTTCTAGAGATAGGGCAGCTGTGCCACTAATAAACTGACCTTGGATTGGGACACAAGATATAGAATCAAGAGAAAGAGGAGAAGGAAGGGTCCCTCCTTCCTCCTCAGCTGCTGACTCTGGTTGGGTTGGAGGCACTTCTCCCTCATGTTCTGCTTGTGACTCTAAGTTCAACACTGTAGGAAGCTGGACCTGAAACATCATCCAGTAGCCAATACCTAAGCACTCAACAAGTATTTATTGTGGGAGGATTTGAAATCTAGTAGTGAGCAAAATATCTCTGTCCTGTGGGATTGAGCCACAGCCCCTTCCACGTGCCAACTTCCACCACAATGCAGCAGATCCAGCTTGCTGACTGCAGGGCTATGAGATGAGCCCTGTCCTGGCTGGGACCTTTCCCAGTGTAAGCCTTGGGAGCAGCACTCTGGTCCAAGAAACTCCCACTCCCAAGGCCTCTCACCATTTTGGAGGGGAGAGGCAATCCCAGCTCTCCAACCTCCTGGACCTCTGGGTCTTGCCTTAGGGTTGAAACTGCCAAACAATTCCCACAGTCCTTCCTGTGAGTCCTTAGCCTGGGCAGGACAAGCAGGTCCTTTATCTCATCTGGGTGCTCCAGACAGACTAGGTGGGCACTCTCTTAGGCAGCATGCCTTGGGCCAACCACCCTGGGAGGGAGACAGGGCCTGAGAAGAGTCCAGTTAACAAACTATCTTAAAACTAAATCTTACTTCAGGGTATTTAAAAGCACGTTTCAAGTATATTTTTGTGTGATCATTCTCAACTAGAGGTGACTTTCCTCCCCAGGAATCATTTGGCCATGTGCGGAGATATTTTTGATTGTCACAACTGAGGATAGGAGAGCTACTAGCATCTATGGGTGGAGGCCAGGGACGCAGCTAAACAACCTATAATAGGCCATACAGCTCCCTACCACCACGAATGTTAATAGTGCTCAGGTTAAGAAACTCTGCTTGAAGGATTGCAAATTCAATCCCAGCCTGGGCTACAAAGTGACTTAGTGAGATCCTGTCTCAAAATACGAAATTATAAAACGGGCAAGGGATATAGCTTAGTGTGAAGGCCCTGAGTTCAATTCCCAGTATCACACTCAACAAAAAAAGAATGTCTTTAGAATCAAGCACGTGCAGTTGGATATATTTGCCTTAATAAGTACTTATTAATTAATAATTGATAATTGCTTTAATTATGAAAACAAATTTGTCTATAGCTCCTTCCCCAAGTGTTTGCCTGGGTCCAGTTCCCCCCCCCAGTAATTTCCTCTGACTATCCATTGATTAAACTTGATTAAAATTACCCCGTCATTTTTAAAGGAATAACCTAATTTCTTACAAATATACTATTTTGACATATTAATGGAATTGTTACTGGAATCATAGGATGCCATGTATTTTAAGGCTAGGTGTATCAAATCTCTAAATGATTTTGCCTAAGAGACAGCCTCAAAGTATGAATTCCATCTGGTCACACAGCACTTGCAGTTTTCTAACCATCTCCCATCCATAGTCTCATTCCATCCTTAGGACAACTCAGATGGACTTGTTTTATGATCTCTGCTTTGCAAATAACTAAACAGCTTTAAGGATAAGGTTAAGTCCAGGTTAAGGTTAAGTGCTGTGACCAAAGTCACACAGCAAATATTTAAGCCTGTTGACTCCATATCCAGTGCTCTACTTCCCCTATACTCTAGAAAAATTGCCCTGAGCCTTAACAAAATTTGCAAATATTCAGAGCTATCTATGATGCTCTGCTAATAGCTTCACACTTCTACCTAACTGAACTCCCCCTCCAACACATCCACATACCCTGTGCCCTGGCAAGCTCCACAGATGCAGAAAATTCTTGTGCTGAGATGCCCTGATTTGTTTAAACTGGAGCCTATAGAACACCTTCCCACATAACCAAAACTCACACTTCCCTCATTGCATTTCCTTAACTTCTCTCCTTCTCTTGATGTTGGCAGAAATTCAGTGAATGCTAATTGTTAAAATGAGTAATGGACTCTGTAAGTGAGGGATGGCAATGGATTAGTCGGTTCTGATATTTCTAAAACAAATACCCCAAAGAGCACACGCCCTAGATAGAGACTCCTTTCAAAATCCTATATCTTTAAAAGTAACTGGGAGTGTTCCTTCCAAGTTATAATAAAACCATATTTATTTTACTATGAAGACAATGTCTGAAATACCCAACATCAGGTAGCATTACCCTCTTAGGAAGATTCAACCTAAATATAGCATTGGGTGTCCCTAGCCCGAAACTCAGGTGAGGATCTTAGAAAACCAGCCCTAGTTGAAGGTCTTGGACTATTCCTGAGCATGGAGGTCAGAGTGATATGTTTGTGTTTCAACAAATATTGAATATAGTCAAAAAAACTTTCCTTCCAATGTCCAGCCTTTTTGAAATAACCCTATATAAGACTAATACTAGGCTGAAGTTTCTCAGAATCATAGCAGTGTTTCAACAGCAGACACTTCAGCAAGTGCAGGGCATTGAAGAATTTTTGTCATCTCTAACAGGCTCAAGTTATAGCCCACTTTCTTTTTCTTTCTCATAGAATATGAACATGAATCCCTGGGCGATTTTGGTAAGAGTCACACTTCCATATGCCTTTAACAGAACACCCCAAAATGCTCTCAGTATGCTTAACTGTGCTTCCCAGGTACAAACCAGGAGGTGGGGGAGGGGCAGAAGACAAACAATGAATTTAATTAAAAGGACTCAAAAAATTTAAACAATGAATTTAATTTAAAAGACAGAAAAACAAAATGAAGCTACCCCGCCATTAATTATGATGGAGATATTTTCTCCCCAAACTTTTGTTCTTTTGGCTCAAATGCATTTTAGAAAATGAGATGAGGATATGAATATAGTGCAGTAAATTATCACCAAGGGATGTAATTGCACTCAAATTGGACTAAAGAAAATTTTAACTTCAGACACCTGAATAATACATCTGAGGCTGAAAAGACAGTAAGCATAGCCCTGGGATATTATGTCCCTTTCTATCGCCATTTAGCAAATTTAGAGATTTTGGAAAAAAGCATGTCCTCCCTTATTAACCTGAGTCCTCCAAAGTTCTCCTTCCTTGGCATCCCCTTGTGAGTGCCACAGGAGTACACTTCTCTAAGCACTTGACTCTTTTGCCTTTTTGAAGGAATATTCGCATAAATAATCCAGTTTAAAAGAGCAATCTGTACTAAATGACTAAGCACCTGAACACATAATCAATTCCTCAATTTCTACTACCCAGAACCTACTGAGTGTATACCCTCAAGCATGCTGTTAGCTTAGCATCTCTTCCAATATACACATACTGATACTTGTCCAGTAAACTTGGGCAGACAATTTTGCTCTGCAGTGATACCTTACATATTTCTCTTTGTTCTTAGATGCTAAAATTTTAACACCGTTTCCTGGTGGTGAGTCAAAATTTTTTAACTCCTTGTGTGATGTGGCTTGGTGGGTTACATGCTTTTTACTGGTGGTATATTTACAACCATGCAAACACTACCATACAGGATGATTTCACCTAAGGCTCCTTATCCATTCACTTCACTCCTGAAACTGTGGGGTTTGGTTTGATGCACTGAGGAAGGGTATGTCCTTTCCCCCACTCCTCTTTGTTCATTAAACTCATTCTTACTCTTTTCCAAGCTTTGAGTCCATTTTCATTGTTTAAGAAAGACAGCTCCAACTCTCATGCCCCATTATGTACCCTCAAAACGTTATGAACATCCTCCTTTCTTCCTGGCACTTGATAGAGTTACAAATCTCCACTTAGTTTTAGATTAACCTGACTACCTCCTCCAGACTCTCAAGCTAGACTCTAATATCTGTGACAGGAAGGACATCATTGACCACAAGGACCACAGTGCTATCTACATGGCCCAACATATGTGCAATAAATGGTTGAGGCATAGTTAAGCATGGATTGATGCAGAATATGTTTCTTCTCCTAACATGCAATATTTTTGTATCTTCAAAAGACTGGCCACAAATACAGCTCGTGAATGGGTCAGGCAGATGCTCTGGGCGAGTGGAAGTTTTCTACCACGGCCAGTGGGGCAGAGTTTGTGATGACCAGTGGGACATGCATGAAGCCGATGTGCTGTGCCGGCAGCTGAGCTGTGGGCGTGCCCTCGCAGCTCCCACTGAGGCACAGTTTGGCGAAGGCAAAGGCGAGTTTCTTCTGGATGATGTGGACTGTACCGGGACAGAGAGTTTTCTGGGACAGTGTCCCCATGCCGGCTGGCGACGGCATAACTGTGGTGCCGGAGAAGACGCCAGTGTCATCTGTGCAGGTAACAGCTACTCTTCCCTTTAAGGACAGACATCTCCTTACCCAGATTGCATCTCCACTGATGCTATTGGCAATGCTTGCACAGATGTAGTCGTAACCCATGTCTGCCATTTGGGTGGGCCAAAAGTAGAGACATCAGTAATTTGAGAGCATCCATCTGAACTCAGAAAATTACTATGATATTGAAATGGATTTTATGCAGACAAACAGCAGAAAGTATTGGTGGTTCCATTATGAGGACTAGATTTGAAAATATCTGCTTAAAAGACAACCTACATCTAGAGTGAGGTGAATCTCTCACAAGGTGTGTTCTCCAGGACACTGTGTTCAACAAAGAGATAAAGTTTTTAACCACTAAAACTTTGTAGTCTAGTAAAGATGCTGAAAGGAAGAGTTGATAAATTAGAATACCTCTAGTTTGTCCTGATGATTGTGAGTTCAGTCCATGTATTGCGAATCACAAGTCATTGAAGAAATAGTAATTATCAAGATCAGGCTGGGACAGGGGCTCCTGGCCTTAGCATTCTACATATCTGGGGCCAGGTAGGTGCTGCCCTGTGTAGTGTAGGCTATTCTGCAGCATCCCTGACCTTTACCCACCAAATGACAACGATACCCCACTCCACTTCTGACATTCAAAAATGTGTTCCACATTGTCAGTTGTCCCTTTGAGAAGCAAATTGCCCCAACCTGAGAACCACTGTCAAACATATGACACATTATCAATACTAAGAACATAAACTTGTGTGCCAGTGGGGGAAAGAAACTCATTCAGTGTATCTACAGCAGTGAACTTATTCACTAGGCAGAATTTCCAGCTGCACTCAAGCAGAAAGACTGTATCTACATAATATGAATATAATGAGTTAGCTTCTAAAGTCAATTCAAACTGTTTCCTTTTTTCATGTGTATGTGTTGGTTTGATTTTCATTTAGCTTTTGTCCATACCCCCCTTGATTTTTTTAATTATTTGGGGTTAGGGTTTATAATTTCACCTGAACAGTCTATTCTATACAACTGTGGGGGTACACGTGTGTTGTGGATGAAATAAGTGTTTGCCTTCCATCTGGGCATATCACAGAGGTAGCCAGTGTCTTAGTTACTTTTCTCCTCACTTAGACATAATATCCAACACACACAACTTCAAGGAGGAGAGGTTATTTTGGCTCACAGTTTCAGAGGTTCCAGTCCATGGTTTGCAGGTTCCAAGGCAGAAATTGCACTATTGAAGAACCTGCTCATGTCATGACAGCCAGATAGCAGAGAGCCAAGGCAGGAGCAAGGGAGGGAGATGTACCCTTACAGGTCATGCCCCTGAGAGACCCATTTCCTCTGACCAGACCCCACCTCCTAATGGTTCATTCAGTTGTTTTTTTCTTTTTTTTTGGTACCAGGGATCAAACTTGGGTCCTTGCCCTTGTGCAGCAGGCAGCGAAACCACTGAACTAAAATCCTGGCCCTCATTCAGTTGTTGAATGAATACACTGCTGAAGATAGTGCTTCCACAATCCAATCGCCTTCCTAAAGCCCTACCTATGATTGCATAAGGATTTGAGGGAACATTCTTGATTCAAACTGTAACACCTGGGGTCAAAGAACAGCCACAATTAATCTATCATGTGTCATTAGACACAATATGTTAACCACTAATGCACTTGGTGATTCATTAGTCGTCTGAACTAAGACAGAGTCAATATTTTTATTTCTGGGAGTCATATCCTTTTATTTTAAAATTCATTTTTAATTAAGCATCTCTATAAATAATTACTCTTTTCTAAAATAGAACTTTTGTTTCTTCTACTTGTTAACAGAGTCTGAGTATTTAAAGCCTACCTCAGATAAGTTTATATTTTTTTTTTATGTATCCAACATTTTCAATCTGTCTGAGCAGGGAGTGAGAAAATAGTAAAGGAATAACTGGTGGGAGGGATCAAATTCCATGTCTTAGTGGTCATTATTTTTAATTAATTTTATTGGTATACTTTTGATATATGTAATGTTCACATTCATCATAAGGAATTTGTTCCTGAACATAATATATCTTGATTCCTCTTTCTTCCCCATTCCCCTACCCTCTTTTCCTTCCCTTTCCCCTCCCCTCCTTTGTTCCCTTTCCAGTTTGAACATTTTCTTCCTATTTCCGAATATCTATCATCCATTTTGGTTCTTATTTACCCTTTCAGTTTCTCATACAAAAGAAACAATGTGATACTTAAACATGTGTGTCCAACTTATTTCACTTAAAATTATGGTCTCAGGTGCATTCATTTATCTGAAAATATCTCAAGTGTATCTTTCCTTAGGACAGAGTAGTACTCCATTGTGTACAAAAAACACATTTTCTTTATTCATTCATCCATTGATGGACATCTAAGCTGTTTCCAAGCCTTAGCCATTACCAATGGTGCGACTATAAACATGGGTCTGCACAGATCACTGGGGTATGATGCTTTTAACTCTTTTGGGAAGATACCCAGAAGGGGAATAGCTGGGTCAAATGGAAACTCTAGTTTTAGTTTTTTGAGGAAGCTCCATACTGATTTCCATAGTGGTTGTACCAATTTACACTCCCACCAACAGTGGAGAAGGGTTCCTTTTCCTCCACAGCCTCACCAGTGTTTGTTACTGGTTGATTTCTTGATGAACCATTCTTTCCAGAATGGGATGGAATCTCAGTGTTGTTTTAATTTGCATTTCTCAAATGACCAATGATGAACATTTTTTCATATATTTATTTGCTGTTTGTACTTCTTCATCTGAGAACTGTCTATTCATTTCAGATGCCCATTTTTGGATTGGGTCTTTAAATTTGGGAGGTCTGATCTTTTTAAGTTCTTTATAGATTCGAGATAGTAGACCTTTGTCTGAGGAAGAGCAGGTGAAGATTTTTTCCCCCATTGTGAGTTGTCTCTTCACTCTGTTGGTTGTTTCTTTTGCTATACAAAAAGCTTTTTAATAAGATGAGATCCCAGTTGTTGATTCTTTGTAATATTTCCTCTGGGTTTGGTGTTTTGTTCATAAAGTTTTCTCCTACACCTATGTCTTCAAGAGTTTTACCTATTTTATCTTCTAGCAGATTAACTGTTTCTATTTAAATATTTAGATCTTTGATCCATTTTTATTTTAGTTTAATGCATGGTGAGAGATATGGGTCTAGTAACCTTCAGCATGTAGAAAGCCAGATTTCCCAGCATCGTTTATTAAAGAGGCTATGTTTCTTCCAGTAAACTGTTTGGCCCCCTTGTCAAAGATGAGGTGAATGAGTGTGGTTGAATTTGTTTCTGCATCTTCTATTCTGTTCCACTGTTCCTTTAATCTGTTTTTGGGGGGGTTCTGTTTGTTTTTGTTTTGTTTTTTGGCCAGTACCATGCTGTTTTTATCACAGTAGCTTTGTAGTACAATTTCAAGTCTGGGATTGTGATGCACCCCCTGTCTTGCCTTTGTTGCCCAGGATTGCTTTTGCTATTCTAGGTCTCTTCTGATTCCAAATGAATTTTAGGATTGTTTTCTCTAGTACTGTGAGGTTTGTTATTGGTTTTTTGATTGGGATTGCATTAAATCTGTGTAACAGTTTTGGAAGTATGACCATTTTTGCTATATTGGTTCTGCCTATCCAAGAACTAGGGGTATCTTTCCATTTTCTTATATGCTCTTCAATCTCCTTTTTCAGAGTACTGTAGTTTTCCATGTGAAGGTCTTTTATTTCCTTTGTTAGATGATTCCTAGGTTTTTTCCTATTCCATTTTTCTTGGTTCTAAACTTCTTGGTTCAAAATTTCCACCATTTTGAAAGGTGTTGTTTCCCTAATTTCTCTTTCAGTGAGTTTGTTATTTGTGTACAAGAAGGCTATTGACTTTTGAGTGTTGACTTTGTATTCTGCTGCACTACTGAATTTGGATATTAAATCTGGGAGCTTTTGGTGGAGTTTTTGGAGTCTTCTATGTAGCGTATCATGTCATCCCCAAATAGTGATAATTTAACTTCTTCCTTTCCTATCCTTATTCCTTTCTCTTGTCTAATTGCTCTGGCTAATGTTTCCAGAACTATATTGAACAGGAGTGGTGATAGTGGGCATCCTTGTCTCATTTCTGATTTTAGAGTGAAAGCTTTCAGTTTTTGATAATTTAGTATGATGTTGGGTGTTGATTTGTCATGGATGCCTTTTCTCAGACTGAGATAAAAAGCTTCTATTCCAATATGCTATAGGGCTTTTATCATGAGTGAATGTTGTACTTCGTTGTACTTTTCTACATCTATTGAGATGATCATGTGGTTTTTGTACTTGGCTCTGTTAATATAGTGTATTACAATTATTGATTTGTGTATGTTGAACCATCCCTGCACCTCAGGATGAATTCTACTTGGTCATAATGTATAATGTTCTTGATGCTTTGCTGCATTCTGTTTGCCAGTATCTCATTTAGGATTTTTGCATCTATGTTCATTAAGGAGATTGGCCTGTAATTCTCTCTTTTTTTAATTTATATATTAATTGGTACATTTTAGGTATACAATACATTTACATTTATCATTGAGTGTTTGTACCTGAACATGATGTATCTTAGTTCTTATTTTTCCCCCATTACCTACGCACCCTTCACCACCCTTCTCTATTTACATAGACTTTGTTTCCATTATTTTTTCATTCTCATAATTTTTCCTTTCCCTTCTTCCCTTTCCCCTCCCACCACCCCTCCACCTTTGGACCTTTTCCTATTTCAAATTATC